GTCTAAGTCTCCTGGGGACCGAGTGGAGGCCAGAGGACCGGAGCACCCACAAGCTTGTAAATAGCGTGTGCGTGCTCCCCTAACTTGATATGGTCCTCTGCTCCCGCCATATCTGCCCCTCCCACTGACCGTACTAATTCCTCCCTCCTCCTTCAACCCCCCACCCTCCCCCCCCACCCTTTCTACACCGCAACCCCCACAACTTATAAAGTAGTTTTGGAAAACTCACTTAACTCCATTGCCTTCCAGATTTATTGGCAGTTTTTAATATAAGGAAAGGATTATATCATCTTGAGTTTTCTTAGCAACACCATTCCCATTGCTGATTTGACACTGCACTGTTCTACACAACCCCCAATACAAGATTAATATTTAAATGGAAAAATGCAAAAGGAAAAACCATTAAGTGCGAATATATGCTTCTTATATATAAGAGTTGCCCTTATCTTTCCATGCTACTGAACCAGTTTCCTTTTGATTTTAACAGAGCTGAAAGGTTCCTTTACAAAACAACAAAAAAATAAAAACAAAAACAGGGTGTGTATTAGATGATTTGAAATATTGCCTTCAATGGAGCCCTTTTGTGAAAAAGCAGAGAACTGGACTTAACTGTAGTAGGTTTATTCACAACTGGGTATAGAATGAGTGCATAAATATGAAACAATTATAATATTTTCACAAAACTCTTCCAATAACTTCTTACAACATTGTCTTTTTTCCCAGGGAGAATACGACACAGGATTTTTGTATCATTGTGCATTTTCCTCTGAGCAGCAGCAAAAAGATCCTGAGACTCGGCAGGATGAACCCTTTGATGTTATCCCTATTGAAGATGCAGATGAAACTCCCATTCAACGCATCACATTTTGGTAACAAGGCTTTTTCGGCCTGTAAAATGAGAAAGAATTTTATGGCTAATGTTTTTTTTAAAAAAATGTTTATTTTATGCATGTATATATTCGTTAAAATGTACTGCTAAATAATGTAAAAATTCATTAAAGTACAATGGAAGATACATTATGATAAAAACAAAACCATTTGATTTTGGTGTGGATATTATGGATGTTTTTGATACTGTGTTTTATTGGGCAGTATTCTTTTCCCTTGCTCTCAAGTTTATTTAACCTGAGCAAAATATAGTTATTTTGAAATAACGAAGTATTTTATCGGTTCTCATTCTTTGATGAAGCATATAGAAGGGCAAAATATACTTTTCCCCTTTTCATACTGTATCCAGATCCAAGCCTCTTGGTCATATATTACTCAAATTCATTTTATCTGTTAAAACCAGATATGAAAAATATGAAAACTGGCTTCTAGTTTTTGAAAGCCAAGGCAAGTGAATCTCTCCTCTTACTCTCATGATGTTGTACTAACATGGAGGTGGTCTCATATCTCATTCCCCTCATGCCTGAGATATAATCTTTCTGCATGTATAGGTCTGATTGTGGAACACACAGAACAAGCAGTGAAACTCAGAATAGTCCTCGAATTCATGAGAGGGCATGAGGCGATGGTGTCTTTTTGTATGCACATAGATTAAAGGCCTGGATATTAAAACATATGAAGAACGATTGCAGGATTTGGGTTTGGCTAGTCTAGAGGAAAAAAAGAACTAGGGAGACATGATAGCAGTATACCAGTATTTGAGAGGTTGCCACAAAGAGGAGAGGGTCAAATTATTTTCCAAAGTACCAGAGGTCAGGACAAGAAACAATGACTGGAAACTAATCAAGGAGAGCAGCAACCTGGAATTAAGGAGAAACTTCCTAACAATGAAGACATTAACCAATGGAACAGCTAGGTTTTTAAGAAGAGACTGGACAGTCACTTGTCTGAAATGATACAGGGTCTCCTGTTTAAGCAAGGGGTTGGACTAGAAGACCCCCAAAGTCCCTTCCAGCTCTATTCTGATTGATTGAAAAATATAAGAGAGGCAAAGTGAATGAGTCCTCAAAGGAAAGCAGTAATGAGACAATGGAAACCGTATTGTTTTTTGTCAGCAGTCAGCTCCTTGCAAGGTCACAGATTTTAAGTCTCTTTTCGGCCCACTATTGGTACCAGGAGAGACAAAAAGTAGTGAATATAATAGCAAACTTTGTATACTTGATATCAAATTGTATATGGAATTTAAGAGTTTTGAAGAGGCAGAAACTTCCTGTCTGCTCATAAATTATTCAAGTGACATCCCCAAATGTGCATGGGCTCCAATATGGCAACCTGCTGCTTGGTAGAGAAATAATATTGTTATTGTTTCTGTCACTTATTAAGCCTGCAATGAAGTTCTCTGACAGTTTTATCATCGTAGGATATTTCGGTGTCTTATCTGATGTGGACAATAAGGAAGATTTTCTTGATGGAAATATGCAAGAATTGTTACCTAGGCAAAAGGAGGGTTAAATATTTTTTTTAAGCCATGAGAAACTGGACACCTTCCTGATTCACTAAGTATAACAAGGTTGCATGGGCCGTAGGAAGTACAGCTCAGTTAGACATGCACAATTCTGTTATTATACCTAAGGTAAATAAAGTAGTTCTAGAACTCCTGGGTTTTATCTCTTCTGGTCTCCCTAGTGGGGCTGACTTATGCCTTCTGTTTTATCCCCAGCATAAACAGATTTAGTAGTATATGAAGAAAAACCATCATGTTCATGTTTTAATTATTTTTTTCAGCTCCACAGGTTTACTAATGTTTTGTGGAATGCAGAATGGAATAGTGAGGATTTATCCTCTCCATAGCAAAGAACTCTGTGTGGACAACATAGCTGGATATTGGTCGTTCAGTTTGCATGATAATGACTATGGGCAAATTCAAGGGATATACTCCAGTTTTGATGATCGATTTCTAGTAACTTGTGGAGCAGATGGCAACATCTTTGCCTATAACATTCTTTCTGCTGAGGAAGTTAAGAAAGTCCTGAAGACTAAAGTGCCTTCTCCAAGAGTAAGTAACAATCAGGAATGCATTACTCTGTACTTTCCCCCCTGTCACTGAAGTACTTGTTGATTGGGAAATACTCTCAGTTTTCTCCATAACCTATATAGATAGAGAGGGTGGGATGGAGGGAAGACAGGCAGACACACAAGTAAATATACACATAAACACAGGAAGTCCTGTGGAAAGCAGCAAAACCCTCAAATTGCAGTCATACGACAACGGAACACTGCAACTGGTCACAAAGTAAGCCAATTGCCCATTTCCTGGAATGCAATCATGTGACTGCTGGGAGGGGGGTAGGCAGTTGTAACTTCAAAGATAGTTCATAACCAACTTTTTTGAAGTCCACCATAACTATGAACAATTATTAAACAACCAATTGTAGGTCAAGGACTACCTACATATATTAGCTTGCTTTGAAAGTGGGAAGAGAAGATTATTAGAAAAAAATGCTATGATTTATAAAACATTGTGAGAAGTTATCTGGAATTCCATCTGAGCTTTAGTTGAATCCATGCCACATATAGAAAGAGCATTGATTATTTAATTTTATTCTTCTGCAGAGTGGTCTTGACAAAGAGAAAGTAGCAGATGATATTGAGGATATATATGCCTACAGGTAAGGTTACTAAAAGTGAGACATTAAGTTTTATTTTTGGAAACCTAGCTTTCTTTTATGCTTATTTTTATTTTTAATCAATCCCTCGAGAAACAAATACATTTCCAAATGAATCTGACTTTAATAAAGTAATTTTAGTGGCATTTACGACTCCTGCCTTGAGTTCCTACATTTTTCTGAAGCATTATACTTTCCTTTGCAATTTTCTCTGAAGATACTATCTTGTGATCTCAGTAGCTCTATATTTATAATTTTGAACATTTGCATTTTAATATTAAAAATATGAGATTTTTTTTTAGATTTGACCTTCTTAAAATCGTAAGTGTGGATCAAGGATGGAAGGGGAAATGCAATTTTTTTGGCCACATACCCATACACTACAGTATATGGTCAGAAAGTAACATTATAGAGCTTCTACTTTTATATTTTGACCATTTAATTACCAGAAATACAGTACAGGCTATGAGAGTTCTATTTCTTTCCAATGCCAAGGTTTGTGGACGGATGCCAAGTAAGATGCTTCCCCAGGAGACTACCAAACCTCTGGCCTAGAAGGAAGGGCCAGAGCATGAAGATTCAAAATGCTACTTGGAGACCTCTTTTCTTCCATTCTTTGGGCTCAGTGGTCTTCTTCAGTCATATTTAATTATGAGGATAGAGGTTCATTCTCCAACCTTGTGGGTTGATTTCCAAACGTTTTGTTACCAGGCTAGGTAACATCTTCAGCAGAATTTAGGGGATGTCAGTGTCAGTGTTCTTCTGCTTATAAGGGCTTTGTGTGGTCAGTAGGTCTTGTGATGGGGAACTCATGTCAGGTGAGGGTCACGTCAGGTGAGGGTTTTGTGATGGGGTTTGTGATAGGTCATGTCAGGTGAGGGTCATTGGGAGGTGAAGTGCAGGTTGGGGGGAATTGCATGGATTGGTTGAGGATCAGTGCCATTGCTGGTTGACTGTGCAGTTGATTTGAATTTGAATTCTGAGGGGTTTGTGAGAGGTTGTAGATTGATGTGTCTGTTGATGGAATTGTTTGTGGAGTGCCAGGCTTTGATAAACTTGTGTGCATGGTGGGTGGTAGTGTGGCTGATGATTTTTGTATTGCTCCAATCAGGGTCAGTTGGTGTCAGTGTGGGTAGAGATTAGGGATCTGGATTGTAGCAATTGACTGCCAGTTGATGTTCATAGATTCTGGTTTTCAATTGACATGATGTTTGTCCCACATGGTCCCACGTTGTCCCACCTTTACCATCATCCTACACCCACTATATTCCCCACTATTGCAAACATTTAATTATGTTAACTAAGTTCATGTGTTAATGCCCAGCTTAATCAATGCTATATAAAAACATTTTTTGTTTCTACAATATATTAAATAAATAGGTCCCTATCCAAAAGATTCCATTCAACATAATTATAGACTCCCTTCAATCTAATGAAACACACTGCTTTTCTTTAGTCAAGCTTCATAATTTCACTGTATATTGGTTTTGGGAAAGATTAATTGTTCTGGCTCCATTTCATATTTTTCTCACATTTCTAGTATTGAGAATGCCAAGCAAAAAAGAGAATATGATCAGATAATGAGTACTGCAGAATATAAGAAATATTTGAAGAGAAAAGAACTGGTTTTATTCAGGCAGGAGTTTCAGGAATTGCTCCGGATCAATAGTGAATTGCCCAAACACATGCAGCTCCTTAGAGAAGTATGTATATTGATTTATTTTCTTCATGGGGAATAAGGGTTAATGTGGGGTTGTACCTTGAGTTTTATGATGAGTTAGCATTTATTTTTTATTGTTGGGTTCCACTGTATGTTCTAACTGCCTAAATTGCTTTTTAGCATACATAAAACAACCAATCTTAGTATTATTGAACAAAGTTGTTCAGTTTTGTTCCATACCCAGATATAATAGGTGTACAACTTGGGTATTTTAGACTTGGTCCTTGCTCAAAGGCAACTGTGCCAACAAAGACCTTTGCACAAATTTTTATTGGACACCAGCTGGATCCATTTCTAGATCAGAAGTCCTGCTCATTCCCATCTTGATTATTACAATGTGTTCAACATGGGATAGCCCTTAAAAACACTCAGAAAATGCAGCTGATCCAGAATGTTGTGGCATGGATACCTTAATACCTTAATTGTTACCTTAATATGTAACAATTCTAATGGGAGAATATCATTGGCTTCCTTTGGATATCCAGAATGCTGGTTATCACATGCAAAGCTCTTCATAGCAAAGGGTAGGCTTTTCTCTAATTATTTCTGCTTATCTCAAGGGACCTGACAGGGTGAGCATACTCTGGGTTCCTTCAATTAAAGAATGCTATCAGATGGGACCTAGGAAAGTATGTTTGTTACTGTACCTCTCTTCCGGAACAGAATTCCTGAAATTCAGATACTCCAACCCTGGTAGTCTTTCCAAAAGTGTTAAAAATGTGAATTTTCTTTCAGGACAGTAGGGCAGGAAGGTAAGAGAATCTATTTGTTTGTGGCTTGGAAATGCGAGCTTTTAGTGAGCTACTGTAGAGAAAATTTTGTAGGTATAGTTTGATTAAAGCAAGAGATGAAATATGGCAGCCAATGAATAAATATCTTTGCCAAATAAACCTAAACCCTATAACAGAACATCTAGAACCTCTCAGGACTCCAAAAAATGCAAAGAACACAACAATATTGTTAAAAGACTGCTGTTCACTTACTATGCATTAATGAACCATTTGTGTGAGCTTTTGATCTACAAAGCAGTCTTCCCTAGTATGGATCTTTCAGTGGTGTGGATTACAACACCCATCTTCCATTACTATTGACTGTTCTTATTAGATGACAAGAAAACCATATAACTACCAAATTGAAGAACATATATCTAAAGCAAAGCCTGACAAATATATATTAATACATTTAAGGGTTTAAGATGCCAAAGAGTCTAATTTTTAACTTAAGATCTATCAAAGTTTTAAAAAATGTAATAGGATGTCATACTTGATACACCCGGTGAAAGAAAAGGGGGACTGATATACAATGGATAGATGCAATACAGAATATAAATGGAAATTTGAAATGTAGAAGCATCTTCACAGAGTCACAGAGTGTTAAGTGAATATCCTGGGACAGAAGATTTCTTTCTCTGATATTGCATATACAGTAGCTCAAACTTTGTATTCTGGGTATGTATGCACAGTAAAGAAAAAATAAAAAGTTTTCAGATGTATTTATTTACTTAAATTTCTTATAGTTGCCCACTCTGGCATCTCAGGTTTGCTTACAAAATCAAGAGCCAAAACAGTGCATGCTTTCCATCAAGATAAACTAGAACATGGCAAACAAATATGATTTTATCTTTTACAATATATAGCAATTTGAAATGGATCGGAGAATTCGTGCAGAAATGGACAGAACGACTGCAAAAACTATTAGGCACGTAATGAGAGAGCTGGCCTGGGAACAGGAAAAACATCGCATTGGGTTGCGAAAAGTACAGGAACGGTAAGGACCATTTTATTTTCTTGTTGTGAGATGTTTTTATTTCCTAAGATTTTTCTGCTAAGAAAAAAGAAAGGGGCACCATGTATACTGCTTGGTACCAAAGATGGAATATAAACCTTAATAATAACACCAGTCAACCAATCGATCAATCAATCAATCAATCAATAAATAAATAAATAAATAGCACCTTATTCCAGTTTTGAAAGGCATTGGAGGATACACTCCAAACAATAGAAGATGTTTTTGTTTTATTATTTGCTTTCTGTTATTCTGTAATTTGCATTGATACTTAACCTGTATTAGCAACCAAGAGTTGCTGTTGCTAGATGAGCAGCCATATAAATAAAATGAAATAAAATAAATAAAAAATAAATGAAATCTTACTAAAAATTAAATTACATTTACATTTCCTTAATATTAAATATAGTCAATATGATTAAAGTTCACTTGAGTGTTTAATAATTGTACCTTTCATCACATTGACACTGCAATATTTTGGTAACAATACTGGAATTGGAGATCTCTGGATATTACAACTTGAGCTTTTGGAGAACACATGATTTTGGGTTCTCTGGGTATGTACCTTTGTTATTTAGTGTGCTGTTAAATTGATACAACTAAGATTGCTTAAATATGTAAAGAGCCCAAAACAAGATTGCTATCTTTGCTGTGGTCCTACAGATACCGGGGCAACTTGGAATATGACACCATTGTGGTCTGTGCCATGAGAAGTACTCACCGAATCTCCACATACAGACTACTGGCAATATCAGAGAGTTTTTACAGAGCCAGAAAACAAATTCACCCAGGGAAAAAGAGAATAAGTAAATATGAACGGAAAGGAAAAGAAGGAGAGCAAAGAACAGACAGCCAAAGAGATATTAGTAAGGATTTATAAAAGTGTGGCAGAAATACTGCAATCATAATGAATGTAATACCTTGCATCCTTTTTCATGGGTCTGTATCAGCAGAAGTTTTGTCAGAAGGTATCTTTGCTCTGTCCTGCAACTTTTCTCTAACATTGCTTAGAATGTAGTTTCTCATGTAGGAGTATTAATTACACGTCTCAACATTTAGTATTTCTTCAAACCTTGATTAATGTTAGTCACTTCCTACAAGTGTGAATTAAGATAACACGTTATGGCTCCTACAGGTAATCCTTGAGTTACAACCGTTCACATAGAGACTGTTCGAAGTTGCGACATAACCCCCCAAGTACTTACGACAAAGTCCCGAGGTTACAAATGTTGCAGCAACATGGCAATTGTTTGCCGTTACGAATGACCCCAGAGGCACTGCAATATTCACCCTACCTATTCCTCCCTCCCCCCTGCTGGGTCTCCACAGGCACTGGGCCTGTGAGGATCACCTTGCGAAGATCTAGCAAGCGAGCTCTCCTCTCCAACCTCTCTGCCACAGTTTCTGTGTCTGTTCCAGGAGCTCCAAAAGCAGAGCAGGGACAGTGGGACAAGCACACCCTGCTCTTCTTCTCTGACTCACCAAGGCTGCATGCCGCTTCTGGAGTGGCGGGCAGCCTAGGTGAGTCTCCCCCAAAGGCTTCCAGTCTCGACACAAAAAGTGTTTGCATGGCGACGGGAGGCTTTAGGGCAGCGAAATTGCGCTGCCTCAAAGCGTCCCATTGACTTGCTAATGTTTTGTGCGGAGACTGAAAACTTCTGGGCACCATGATCTCGCGCAACTTCAGGCTGCCATTCTCTGCAAAAGAGGACAGGTGCCTGAAATCACACGAGATCACGGCACCCAGAAGCTTCCAGTCTCTGCGCAAAATGTTTGCAAGCCGATGGGATGCTTTGCAAGCCGGTGGGCCACCTACCTGCCTGCTAGAAAGGAAAGGGAAGGGGTTAGGATGGATGGATGGATGGATGGATGGATGGATGGATGGATGGAAGAAAGGGAGGATGGGAGGAACAAGAAAGAGAAATGGAGGAACAGGGAGGAAGAACTCTGCTCTCCCTTCCTGGCCCATGCCACCCCTGCATGCTTCCTTGACCTGTGCCACCCTCACATGACTTGCCCAACTCATACTGCACCCCAGCATGTCTTCCCTGATCTATAAAGCATCTCCTGCACTTCCCCACACATCCTCCTTGACCCACTATATCCCCCCAGTGTGTCTTCCCTGACCTGTGCAGCACCTCTTGTGCAACACGTCTTCCAAGGGAGGAGGGAAGGAAGGAAGGTTTGTTTCTGTTGTTCGCTGATAGCTTTCCACAAGGAAACTCAATGGGAACTCAAAGCTTCCAGGAAAGTCTGAGGTTGCTCCCACTCCCACTGTTTTTTTTTTTGTTTACCAACCATGGTCATCCTGCTTAGGTAAGGAAATATCTCTGAAATAATGACCCAACAGGCCATAGGTTCTCTAGTATATATTATAAAAATCTACAAATTCTCCAGAGCTCTGTTCTGTAAAGGACACAAAACCCAGACAGTACTATCTCTGAAATAGAGAAAGCAGTAATGGAAATCTAGTTATAATATGACCTTAGTTTTGTAGAATCAGTACGCTTTTGTTTGATTTATTTTTAAGATGAGTTCAAAGAAAAACCCCATAACATGTAAAATAATGCTAATATGGTATCTTGTTTGGGGGATGCCTACAAAAGCACCTTATATATTTTTTTAAATATATTTGTACAGAAGCAATACTTACAGCCCAGGCTACCATTGATGAAGAACCAGAAACTGATAGAATAAGGAAAAAATCCCAACCTCATACAGCAGCAAGCCGTATTGTTGAAAATCGAATGGAAAAACTTCGGAAAATCATTGAAAAAGCAGACAAAGCCAAAGCTAAAATCCAAAAAAGAAAGATGGAGTGGGATAAATTGTGAGTCAATCATGACATAAGCATAATATTCTCTTTGGGGCATGATTAAAAACATGTTTTTTAAAGTAGGAATTGTTTTTGAATTATTTATTGTGTATATTGAAATACAGTCATTCCTATCCTGGTAATTAGATCCGAAGTGATTTGATCTGGAGCACAAGGATTGGAAAGCATTTTGTTTCAACACAGCGCTCCAAATGTAACTAATCTCTGGTATTTAGATTGTTTTTTATTAGTTAGATTTATATATGTTACCCTGAGTGGCTCATAATTAAAAACAACAGCAATAAGACACAATAAATTATAAGTAAATGCCAAAAGTGTGTAACTGTTAAAATCACCACTAAAAGCTTAGTTTAATAAGAAACAATCAAAGTTTTTAACAAAGTTTGAAAAGTGCTTTATGGTTATTTCTGTCACTCTAATGAAGAATGGCCAACATTTTGGGTTAACATAAATTACAAATGAGCATGTGAAATCATAGAGAAGTCTTTGGCTCTGGTTAAAGACCTATATTGGGCTGGATGTTGCATCTAAGCACTCCATATGATGTATCACATCAGGCTTATATTTTGGATGATAATAGATTTTGAGTTAGAACAGTTAGTTCCAATAAAACAGAATTTGACCAACTGAAAGGTTTGTCCATGCAGGCTTCATTGGAATTTCTCTTGTCATTTCCATGGTGCTGACAGACTCATGGCAGTAGATTATACAAATACTTGAATACCTTCAACTATTTTTTGCTTTGAACATCAATATGTTTTCATATAGACCTAAGGAAGAACTGAGTAATTACAGTAGTTTGTTTCTTGGATGATTGAAAAATATAAAAAGAGATAAATTATTATTATTTAATATTTGATTGTAACTTGGCAGATTCAAAAGCAAACCAAGTGATAACTATGAGGATCCTCAAGATGTAGCAAATATCAAAGAAGCTCAAGAGAACATGGGGGACTTCAAATTAAAAACTGCCACTAACTACAAAATTCCTGAGCATATGAGAATGAATGCTGATAAAAAAACAAGCCAGCTGCAAGCTTTAGAAGCAGCTGTAAGTAAAATAATTGATCTGAATCATATGATTTCTCTTCTTCTCCCAGAAGGCATTTACTGTGATGAAATTAAACTGTAGCACTAAACTGTTTATTGACTATTTTATCATATATTTTTTGTTGCTTTTAATATAGTAACAGGAAAAGGAAAAGACACACAGGAATGAAAAACAAAAATACATTATTAAAAAAAATCATAACGTGATGAAAAAAAATCAATGAAAAAGACAAGAGAAAAAATTTATACAGTACATTTAAATATACTGTATATATTACAATTACAGTTACAATTTTATATATAATTATCTAATGCAAACATTTTGCAACTGTTTGTGTATCTGCATTTCCAATATACTTATATAATCATGCTTATTAAATTACAATGCCCTTGGCAAAAGTGACTCATGACCTGTACTTGCACTTACGACTGTGGTACCCTCACAGTCAGATGATTGCAATTTGGGAGTTTAACAACTGGCTCCATTTATGAACGCTTGCAGCAACCTGCAGTCAAATGATCATGATTTGAGAGCTTTTTGCCAATTTCCGGCAAGAAATGGCAAAAAAAACCAATCCATTAGGGAACCTGGATTTACTTAACTTTGTGATTCATTTAACAACAGCAGTGATTCACTTAATGACTGCTAAAAATCTTGTCTACCCTTATAACTAATTCAATTTACCACTACAACAACAGGATGGAAATTCCTGTCCCAATGTGCTTGTAAGTTGAGGACATTTTATTATACTTATTGATACAAGGTCTATTATCTGTAGGCAATCAGCTCATAAGTAGTAAATGTAGTCAGATCTTCAATCATTGAGTAAACCGAATCTTACCTTTCTAGTGTTGCAACATTAGTCTTTTGGCTGTAGTAAGGGAATGGAGAATCCATTTATGTTGCCTAGTTGTCAAATTCCATGTACTAGAGATGTAATTCAAGAAAACATTCTTCTCTGAAAAATGTACCTTTTGTCATATATTCACATTTATGTAATTCACTACTTTCTCCCAAACTTAGTAAATACTGTATAGAACACTGGAAAAACATGTGTTTTAAAGCAGCAATGTCCTTATTACATTTCCAACAAAATATTTCTATACATACATAATGGAGTTCAATAAATTCTAAATATTATTTTTGTTGTATAAGTCCATTGACCCTCGTGCTATGGAGGTTAAAAAAACACTCTCCCATCATGTCTAAGCAATATAGGAACTTCTAATTCTTTATTCCATTCATCTTTTAATATCTGCATATCAAATTGATTTATTGATAACAAATATCTATAAAAATTCAGTAGTATCTATATCTATAATTCAGTAGTAGGCTTTTTATTTTTAAAGGATATAACCAGTTCTAGTATCTGGGTATCTTAGAAAACTTAGTGCAGTCAACTGCTGCTGGTTTAAAAAATGTTGTTAACAGTTGTTGTAGCTGTAAATATTGCCACTGAGTTACCTCTGATAGATAATATTTGTCTGTTAGCACAGATATGTTAAAAATCCTCATCTATCAATTGGTCCAAAGTCAGTATCCCCCTTCATGCATTTTTTCCATGTCACCATCTTTTTTCAAATTTTAATGTTAGGTTTCCCCATAAATTCATTTTAACATAGGAAAAAGGATTATTACATTCCATAGTTTTTTAACTGATATAATTTTTTCCAGTGAACCAAGAGTTCTATTGTGTTTAGATCCTAATACAGTCCATTCAACCAAAGCTATTATATATGTATATTCCAACGTTGCCCAAATTGGAAAATTAACACAAATTGTTGGCTTCCTGTATTTGACAACAAATAAGCTCGATGATATAGCTCCAAACTTAGAAAACTGAATCCTCCCTCATTAATTGGTATTTGCATTTTCTGTAAAGATTTTTTCAGAGCTGAAAAACTCCATAGAACCTTTCTAAACAAAGAAGTTATGATATTTAAACAGGAATTTCTCTCAGAATATAAATTAATCTGAGAATAATATTCATTTAAAGAGGATTCACCTTTCTCCAAAGAGTGAATATGAATATGAATATCCCGTCTTCAGATGTTTTATTTATATTATATATTACTGAGTTATATGTTTAAGTATACCCATACCTATTTATTTAATTAAGTACAGATTAAGTACAGTTTATTCTCTGGAGAGAGAATAAAAAGCCTTTTCGCCAACTTCCTACCGCGCTCTCCCTCTTTTTGGCTTGTCTCTCTGGAAAAGAGAAAGTAAAATCTTCTTCCCCCAGTCAATCTCCTCTTCCCCTTTAAAAATCCCTCCCAAAGAGCCCCGCCCCGCCGCCAGCCACTGTGGAGGCCAACGGAGCTCCTGACCTCTCTGCCAAATCCACAGAGATCTGGCAAAGCCTCCCAGTCAGCGCTGATTTCCCCCCCCCCCGCAATTCCCCTCTCTGCTATACCTCCTTCCTTCCTTCTCATCTCTTTCCTTCCTCCATGCTCAGGAAGGGGTGATGGGAAGGAGAGAGATTGCCAGCGCTGCCATGTTGCTGCCGATCTTGCTATTCTGCATGTGGGGGGGTCTGTACCGGTGAAAGGAAAGCCTCGTGGCTGCGAGGCTGGAGGTGCTGGTGTGGGGGTTGGCGCTGATCTACAACCTGGTTACATCCATCAAAGCCAGAATGCGCTTAGCCTAAGATCCACTGGAACCAGCAAGGAGCTGCCTCGCCACCTCTGCCCTGCCCCCCGGGTGTGCGCGTAGGAGATGGCCAGTGCCGGCATCCTGGGTTAAGTCAGCCTGCAGGACAAGACAGCCAACAGGGACGCCGGACTCCGCTTGCGTGCATACCCAGGAGAGAGGACTGCCCCGTGGATTTAACGCTGAGCGCATTCTGGCTTTGATGGACACAACCAGGTTGTAGATCAGCGCCCAGTCAGCCTGGGCCGGGCCGAGGTGCGGTGGGCCGGTCCTTAACTCTTTCCAGAGCAGGTCCCTGTGTGTGGGGGGGTCTGTACCAGTGAAAGGAAAGACTCATGGCTGCGAGACTGGAGGTGCTGGTTGGGGGGGGGGTTGCTGCTGATCTACAACCTGGTTGCGTCCATCAACGCCAGAATGCACTCAGTCTTAAATCCACAGGGCAGCCCCACCCTGTCCCCTGGGTGCATGCGCAAGTAGAGTCCAGCGTCCCTGCTGGCTGTCTTGCCCTGCAGGCTGGCTTCACCAGGATGCCGGCACTGACCGTCTCCTGTGCACACACCCGGGGGGCAGGACAGAGGTGGCGTGGCAGCTCCTTGCTGGTTTCAGTGGATCTTAGGCTGAGCATGTTCTGGCTTTGATGGATGCAACCAGGTTGTAGATCAGCGCCACCCCTCCACCAGCACCTCCAGTCTCGAAGCCACGAGGCATCCCTTTCAACGGGACTGCCCCTGCCCGCCCACATGGTTTAGGAATGGCCGGCAGAAGCATATTAATGCTGGCAATCTCTCCCCCTTCCTGAGCGCGGGGGAAGGAAAAAGATGAGAAGGTGAAGGAAGGAACGAGGGAGGAAGGGAGGGTGGGAAGGAGGAAGGGAGGGAAAAAGGGAGGGAGGAAGGAAGGAACAGAGGAAGGAACAGGGAAAAAGGAATGGAGGGTGAAAAGAAGGAAGGAAGAAATGGAGGGAGGAAGGAAGGGAGAGTGGGAGGGAGGGAGGGAGGAAGGAACAGGGAGGAAGGAATGGAGGGTGGAAGGGAAGAAGAAAGGAACAGAGGAAGAAAGGAACAAAAGGAGGAAAGAATGGATGGTGGGAGGGAGGAAGGAAGGAACAGAGGAAGGGAGGGAGGATGGGAGCGACCATGTCCCAGTGCTTGCCCCAGTCCCATCCTCCTCCGCCGGAGATCCTCAGATCTGCCCCAGTCCTGCCCAGGCACCCCTGAAGTGAGTGATGTCAAGCTGGCCACGCCCACCCCAGCCACACCCATCCCAGCCACACATGCTGGCCCCTCGAGGACAACCACAATGCTGATGTGGCCCTCAATGAAATTGAGTTTGACACCCCTGAACTAGACCATGCAGTGACCAGGAGTCAAAAACTGACTTGAAGGCACCCAAAAATCACAAAAAATAATGCATTAAATATAGCATCTATGTACATTGACTTTCTATGATATCCAGTAAAAGATAACTGAGAGCAACAGTGGTTTCATTTGCATAATGTTTTAATTATTTAGGTTTAAATTACTGCAGTTTGGAAGAAATAATTACCTAATAAAGCAATTGCTACCTAATAAAAGTGACTTGTTCTCTTCTTTGCAGATACATGAGAAAAAACTGATGATGAACAAATGGATAGTGTCTCTCCGAGATCTTAAAGTTGCTATTATAGAAGAGATTCAGTGTGTAGTACAAGAATTGAAAGATATACAGTCATCTCTGGATCCATCCAAACATCTGCCAATACCTTCGGTTCCTCAACTACTTCCAGAAGAGACACCAGAAAAACATTTCCAGTATGATCATGACATGCTTTTGAAATTCAAACAAGAAGCAGAAGAGCAAGAGAAGTTAAAAATAATAGCATCATTGATTCCTTCTGTAGAGTCTGGAAGTTTAGGAGGATTTGGTGGAGGATTTCTTCATAGTCTTTCAGTCAAGGAAATAGACAGTAGTCGGATTGCAGGTTTAAGGCCAGGGAGACTACCATCTGGAGTTTCTGAGGCACCACCTAAAATATATGAGATTGAGCCAGCAGAACCAACAGAACTGGAATTGGAAATCAGACAGAGGGAAGAGATAAGAAATGTTCATCTGCAGGAAACTTTGATCAAGAGGGTGAGAAGTTGCTTTGAAGATATACGTGTAAAATTATTTCCTGTTTCTATATTTTTGTTTCTCATAATTAAAATATTACAATAGAAATACTTATTGGATATATTTTGAAACATTGTTTAAAACAATATTATAAAATGAATATATCTTATTAAATACTAGCTGTTCCCGGCCACGCGTTGCTGTGGCTCAGTCTGGTAAAAGCGTGTGTTGCTTTTATGTCCAACAGATGGTGCTGTTTTTCAAAACATGTTTTACCTGTCACAGGTGTGACATCTATATAATATAGGTATATAAAAACACGCGCGTATTCGAATGCAACGTTGTGTCAAAATTTCAAAGCAATCGGTGAAGAACTTTCGGAGATTTAACATTTTGAACAAACGAACATTTACATTTTTATATTAAATATATCAGCAACTAGTCCATTTCTAATAAGATTTTGAAATGAATATTGTCTTTGTATGCAATATTCACATTTATGCAACTCAGTTTCTAACAGAAAGTAGGATTACATCAACAACACTAAATAGTTCCTAAATTTGGTCTTAACACAAACTTCCCTAAGATGTATACAGTTGGAACACCCGTAATCATTATTAGAAAGGCATTCTGGCAAGGATTACAATAGCTGAAATTGTACAAATCTGGTTTTAACATATTGGGAAAGGCTGCCCTATACCAATTTTATGACTAGCCTGACAGAATTTGTAATACTGCATCAAACATCAATTAGATTGTGTTTTAGAATAACTGAAACCCTTATATTATTTTTCCTTGAGAAAAGCCAAGTTGGAATGATATGTTTGCAGACAAATTAAACAACTTTTACCTTTTTTAAACAACTTGTTATCCCCATTTTTTAGTTTTAGCTGTATTTTATAGTGTTTTATTCTTATTGTGTATATGTTTTCATATTGGTTTATTCTTTTTATCAGTGTAAGCCTCCCAGGGTCATCACATAGTGACCATACTTTGATAATAAATATAAGTAATAAACATAATTCAAATAAATAAATACAAATAATAAATACAATATAAATGATATTTATTAATGTATTTATTTTAAAACATTTATATAGCCACCCATCTTTCAGTCAACTCTGGGTGGCTCCCAATTAAATTCAAATACTGTTTGAAATTATTATCTTCATAGAATACAATTTTTAGATTGTGTGTTGTCTAATTTATATTATTGTTTTTCTCCCATGATTTCTTTCTTTACTTGCTTTTCAGATAGATGAGCTGATGATCACCTTTGATGCTGAGCTTCGCCTTCTCCGTCACCAAAAGATGAAACTGGACATACTAATGAAAACCGCTGATCTGCGCCACATCACTTGGTTTGAAGAACTACTTCTCCTGAAGAATTTTGAAAAACATGAGGACATTCTCCAAGAACGGGTCAACAGCCTTGTTAGTGAGGAAGAAGAAATGCAAGTATGTAATATATACATCGATATAGGCCTTAACCTATTGTTAAGATAGGTAATACTTACAAAAATGTATTTTGTTGAGAGAATATTATTTATTATTAATTTAATTTTGTCAGGAAAAAATAAAACTAAATTGAATACAATGGAAGTGGAATACTTGAGATACTTACCAAATACTTGTTTAGTACAGTAAAACAAGAAGAGCTAGGGTTCTAGGATAGGTGGGTGTAGAATGAACACAAAAGTAAAAATTATCTGTATGGAAGAAGTATTAATTTAAAGAGGATTGATTCGTTGGTTGATTGGTTTGATTTGATATGATTTGATTTTGGTGTCAACCAAACTTCAGGCCTACTCTGGGTAGCTGAATAAGGATTGCATTGCAAAACATAAAGTAATAGTGAAAAGGTAGACAGGAAGATTGGATGGAGTTGATACGTTTTTCAAAAGAATTAGATGAGAAGTTTAAATAACAAAAAGTGATTTATAATTTGGTATATGGGCATGCTGGAAGCAAGAACAGTTTGGAAAGACAGAAAAGGATAGAGAAATATAGCCAATGGCATTGTATAAAGTAGATTTAAGTGTTTTCTTTTCTCTTTTGTTTAATTTCTTTTGCTTCCTACTTTTTATGATATTTATATAGGATTGCTTATTTCAAAAGATAATTGTGTGATGTGAATCTGTGTTTCTGTTGCATCATGGTTTACATTCAGAAAATTCAATGTACAGAGGCTGTTCTTATAGAGGCAGGAAAAATGGAGATAGTGTATAGATGGGAGTGCTGTCAACACTGTCTGGATTTATTTCCTTAATGCATTCTGACTAGAATTCTCACAGTATAATTCGAGGATGGAGGAATTTGTTCCATTTCCCCATTCCTTGTGTTAATATTTTTGGGTAGAGAATAGTAGTGACATTTTCACCTTAAGAATTTAAATCAAGTTCTTTGTGTATCATATTGTTAATACTGACATCAATATTAATTAGCGTTATTGTTTTCATTTTTTTAAAATAAAAGAACAAATTAAATGACTGGCTTGCACTAATAGAGAATAAAAAAACAGAAATTGCAAAGCTCCAAGAAAGAGAAAAAATCCTCTATGCCACTTTTCAAGCATCCTTGGGAGAAAATAACAAGTTTGCTGCATTCCTTACTAAAGTCCTCAAGAAGAAGATCAAACGTGTTAAGAAGAAAGAAGTGGAAGGTGAAGGAGGTAAGTTAGAACCATAGTTTCTTGATTATCTTTTTATTTTTTAGAAAGTTCCATAGAGACCCCTGAGACCCCCAGGCTTATAGTCATGGGGGATTTCAATCTGCCATCGGCGGGCGAAACGTCGGCGGCGGCTCGGGAGTTCTTGGCCTCCATGACGGCCTTGGACTTGACCCAATTAGTTCATGCCCCGACTCACGAGGGGGGACACACACTAGATCTAATTTTTGTCTCTGGCCAGTGGCAGAATGATCTGGAAATGGGGNGGATTTTAGCCTTCTGCAGGTTGAAATGGAAGAAATATATATTTTTCTTGACAGACTTCCTTACAGTTGTTATTTTCACAGACTTGAACACTGGACCCTATCCAGCAAAATGCAATTCAGTGTTGAAAAAAAATATGGTCCTTCATTTAGGCAAGAAATATGCACAGATGTAGAATAGGTAGTGCCTGGCTCAACAGTAATAATTGTGAGAGGGATCTAGGTTTCCTACTAGTGGGCCACAGTCAAGTATTAGCCAACAGTGTATTGTAGTTGCCAAAAAAGACAATGCAGTCTTAGGCTGCATCAACAGAGAGTATTCAGATCATGAAAAGTGATAATGCCACTTTATACTGCACTAGTGTGAGACTACATGCTAAAGTGTATGATGAACAGTTGAGGGAACTAGATATATCTAGTCTAACAAATAAGAGGACTAGAGATAACACGATAGTAGTCTTCCAGGGATTCTTGAGGGATACTTGAGGGATTCTCAGACAAAAGGGGGTTGACCTATTCTCCATAGCATATGAGGTAGGACAAGAAGTAACAGGTGGAAGATCATTAAAGAGAGATCCAATTAAGAATTAAGAAGAAATTTCCTGACAGTGAAAATAATTAATCAGTGGAACAGCTTGCCTGCAGAAACTGTGGGAGCTCCATCACTGGAGGTTTTCCAGAAGAGATTGGACGACTATTTGTCTGGAATGGTATAAGGTCTCCTGCTTGAGCAAGGATTTGGACTTGAGGAACTCAAAGTCCCTTTCAACCCTATTATTCTATGTTATGTTATATACAAGCTGTAGAGTGGTATACATTTTTATCTCCTATTCAATCTCCTACTTCGGAATCACAGTTTAGTACAATCTTGATGTGAAATTAATGATGTTGAAGTGTTAAGGAAACAGAATAAAAAAATGGCTGTGCAAACAAATATCAATCTAGTGATATAGTTTTGAACATCCAGACTTTGGGGAACTGGTTCAGTCACTGCTTAACTCTTAAATGTGCGATTTAATTAATGTCTACTTTGTTACATTATTAGCATTGAAAACAAAGAAGCAATTCTCACAACTTCTTGGATGGTGATCATCCCAAACCTGCTCTTCTCCAATCAACGATGGTTCCAAGAGGATTTCTAGCATATGCTTACCACTAAGGTTGCCAAAATCCATGGGGTCACTAGATGAGAACAAAGAGTTTGGAATTTTAGGTAACTCTTTACTTTATCTAGTGTTGATATGATTATTTTCAGCCCATGTATGATAGCTGTACTACCACAGCTTTAGCCACCCAGGCAATCGGTAGTTATGAGGTACCTACAGTGAAAATTCCTAGCTGGCAGGAATAATTCTGGCAAGTTTTTGTCCCAATGTGTCTGGAAAAATCAGGTTGGGAAAAGCTGTTTTACCACCACACACCACTCAAACTACCAAAAAGTATGCTGAGAAGAAAAGTACAGTCACTAATTTTTAAATTTCATCATCCTGATGTAATATGGATTTTGTTTGGATTTTTGCTTTTTTCCCAGCAAGCAAGAGATGCAGAGGGAATAGTAATTACACACTGATAATATGTGTGGGCTGTGAATTCTGGGTAATTTTGGATCTTGCTGAATTTAACATTATTATTTAAGGTTTAGTTTGCTTTAAAAAGACACCAAACTCATACTTCTGAAAATCAGAAAATTGCCATTGAATTTTGATGGTATAATCTGCTGGAAGCCCTTTGGAGGCATGTACACAATTCAGAGATGATAAATCATTAATTTAAAATATTTACAATCCATCTCTCTTCCATACAGTTCTAGGATTTTTAGTGCATTATATTAAATCACGTATGGTTAATTTAGTCATTCCTTGAACCATAATGATTTCAATTGATATGTTCCTCAAGTGTGGTTTAATCATTAATTTTACATAACTTTGTAAAAGGATAAACAAACAATGTAATGGTTTTAAAGTTATGCATTAAGAAGTGGCATGTATTAACCTTTTCTGGACCGGGATGCCTTGTGCACAGTCACCCATGCTCTTGTCACCTCCCGCCTGGACTACTGTAATGCTCTCTACATGGGGCTTCCCTTGAGGAGCACTCGGAGGCTCCAGTTAGTTCAGAATGCGGCCGCGCGGGCGGTGATGGGAGCAACTCGTCGCTCCCATGTAACGCCGCTGCTGCGCGAGCTGCACTGGCTGCCTGTGGTCTTCCGAGTGCGCTTCAAGGTGCTGATTATCACCTTTAAAGCGCGCCATGGCATCGGACCTGGTTACCTCCGAGACCGCCTTCTGCCACAGATTACNCTAGGGGGTATTTTAATTGGTTTTAACAAAATTTTAATAGAGCGGCCAATTCAAATATTTATTTTTAATTATTTTAGATTTGTATTTGGTATTTATGTGGGATTGTTTTAAACTGGCTGTAAGCCGCCCTGAGTCCTCCGGGAGAAGGGCGGGGTATAAATGAAATAAATAAATAAATAAATAAATAAATAAATAAATTACAGTGCAGATGAAAGTAAACACTTTCACCTAGTAATTCTTCTGTGTGTCGAAGTTATTAAGAAAAAGCATCTGTACTGTTTTTATAGAGAAAAGTTAGATAAATTATAGTAATGTTATTATTTTAACATTACTTTTTATTATTATTTTCTCTTACACAAATCCACTTACACATATCACTAATGGAAATTAATATAATCCATGATGTACCATATTGTGCATGTGCATACTGATATATGTTTTGCTTCCAACTCCCTGTAAAATGAAAGCATATTTTTATAAATAGCATGTAAAAAGAAAGCAAATGACAAACTCCAAATTTTGCAAGAATTTGTTACATACTGTTTTTTTGTTTTCCTGTTCTTGATAATATTTCCCATGTTTTTGAACTTTTCTTAGCTGAAAATCAAACTATAATCAACAAATTAGATTCTGTTAATTTTCCGTGTCATGATCCCATTGCTTCATTCCAGATGAAGATGAAGAAAGTGAGGAAGAGAGTGAAGAGGAGTCTAGTTTAGAGAGTGATGAAGAGGAATCAGGATCTGAGGATGAAGTCTTTGATGATACTGTTTGTCCAAAAAGTAAGTAGTGCAATCTCTTCTGCAAATCAGTAACTTCATACAACATTTGGAACCAATAAAATACTTTTTTCAAAAACAGAAACTTCAAATTTTAAATGTATTGTCAAAATGCGTTTGCGTATCAGGAGAACATAACATTCCCAAAGTTTAGCTTCATTCATCTTTACCTTTGCAATACAGATTACATCCCTACTTGCTGACTGTAGATATGTTGTGCTGATACAGTTGATAAAGATTCTGAATCATGCAGAAGTTCATTTTTAATGTGTGCCAGTGTGTTCATAGAAAAAAGTAACAATAAAGGTTATCCTATCCTACCCTATCCTACCCTACCCTACCCTACCCTACTCTACCCTATCCTATCCTATCCTATCCTATCCTATCCTATCCTACCCTACCTCTTCTTTTCTCTTCTCTTTGAAGTGGCTGAGGAATTCTGGGAGATGAAGTCCACAAGTCATAAAAGGGCCAAGTTTGAAGTCCTCTGCCCTGGAACATTGTACTTATAGAGTAGCAGAATTACTAATAATGCCCTTTCTCCTAACATACGAGGGCAATTTGGAATTTAGAAGTGTATTCCAGAATGTATGGAAGTATTTATAGTAGGACAGTTCTGAATAACAATGCAGCTTATCGCTTTAAGCTGTCTAATTCTTGGATTCCTGTTTTAAAAAACTGAAATTGTAGCAGTTATTAAACTTGAATTCTTTCTTATGTCAGATTGTGATGAGGCACTCTTTGAGAATACGCTGCAGCTTCGAGAGAAACGACTAGATATTGAAGAGGCTTTAGCTGAGGAGAAAAAGGCTATTGAAAATGCCAGGAAAGAATATGAAGCACTGACAAAGAAGGTACAATGGTCTTTTTCAATTGTGATTTGTCCCATAGCTAGTAATACATTCCTGAAAGCCCACCTTTGCTGTTTACGTAGATGTGGGTTAGAATCTTAAGGCTGGAACAGTTACTTTATTGAAACAATAATTCTATAAAACCCTGGACAAATTTTGGACTGTATTAATTATTCTACTCATTAAAGTTTGGAATCATAATCTGAAATAAAAGATGAGATGTCCCGTTATTCTATTAAGATTATTGTTGATATGTTTATTGCCTCAATTAACTTTTCTTAATATGGACTATATTAGAAATATAGTAAACATCCACTTGGGCTACGTGACAACATGCTTGTTTCTAGTCAGGAAATGACTCTGAAAACAAAAGTAGCATGAAGAGACTTGTTTTGGATATTGCTATTACCAGGGAGAGAAAGGGCCTTTAATTGTATCTTGGGAGCAGGGGACATGTTGCTTGATAATATTCTTTGCTTTGCAGATACTATCATTTCATTATTTCCTCAGCTAAAAATCTGACAAAAAGAAAAACTTGTCTTCCTATAGCAGAAAAATAATGGTTCACTTCCTCTTATTTTACCTTAATCTAATACAGCGGTTCTCAACCTATGGGTCCCGACCCCATTTGGGGTCGATCGACCATTTCACGGGGGTCGCCAAGCAAGGCTGTCTGCCATTTTTTCCCCTTTTCCGGCGGGTGCCTTACCTCCCTTGGGCTGGGCCAGCTGGTGGTCGGCCTGCTCTGTCTCTGCCGCTTGCCAACTACGCCTCGGCCGGCGCAGGGCCACCACGCATGCGCAGGGCAAACCACGAATGCGCGGCGCTCCCGGGCAGGGAAAGTCCTCGACTTACGACCGGTTGGGTAGTTTTTGACTTACGACTGGTTTAGTCCTCGACTTATGACCGGTTTAGTCCTCGACTTACGACCGGTTTAGTCCTCGACTTACGACCGGTTGGGGGTCGCGGCATTAAAAAGGTTGAGAACCACTGATCTAATAAATCATTTTGTGGTGATCATTCTTTTGTAACATGGCTATTTCTTAACAGGTGAAAGTAGTAGCAACCAGCTTAGATGCTGCAGAATGGGAACTTGAGGCCTTTCAGAGAGAAAAGCAGCAGAGGCTGAATGAGCTGCATGTCGTAGTCCCTCTAAAACTTCACCAGGTGACGACTCAGACAGATTTTACTGCTGCTGATTGGAATGTTGATAAATCCTTGTTTTGTATATGTTGGTTTGTAATTTTTTCCCCTTTGTTGCTACTGGTATACATCTGAAGCATTTTTCAATCCATCTTCATAACTGATCTATTTGAAATATTGGACAGAATTATTCTTTCTCAAAAGGCACCTTTTGGAAAAACTTTGTTTTTCCTCGAAGGCATTTCACTTTTCATCCAAGAAGCTTCTTCAATAATTAAATAACAGAAAATAACATAATTGTTTTGTTTCTCTAGACTCACTGTGCACCTAGAAGCATATGAGCAGCTCTTGGACACTCTTGTAGAAAATCAGTGAGAATTAACAAAGCAATACAGAGCTCTCCAGATTTATGTGCATTCTACTTTTATTTGCAGGTGGAATATATATCGAATGGAGAAATTCCCTCTGACCTCTCACAGTCTTTGGTATTTACCAATCTATCTTTAGTGACTTTGCAGCAAAGAATTATGACTTTGCAGCAAGAGAAATTAGAACAGAGGTCCCTTTATAAGAAGGCCCGGGAACAGCATAAACAACTAATTCGAGACAGAAGAGAAATAGTACATAAGATTGAGCGTGAGTTGCTAACTTTCAAGTTAATTAGTATGTAAAGACTTTTCATATTGATCCAGGGCAAACAGATGATGAACTACTATTTCCTGCAAGTGTAGTATATACTCTAGCTGTTTTCTAGAAATGTTCATACAAAAGATGGAAATGTCTTACAATACTGCTTCTACAATACAATTTTAGATATTGAACCACTAAAGCAAACTTACCATTAGGAACACGAGATAGCAAATACTACAATACAATTTTAGATATTGAACCACTAAAGCAAACTTACCATTAGGAACACGAGATAGCAAATACTAGCAATATTTAATTAGCGATGCTAAGAAGACATTGGTGCACAGTGCTATGTATCCTCTGGCCCTCCTTGCACTTTCTAATCAAGCATGTCAATTTCACTTATCACAATTATTTTGTTTTTAAAAGAAATCACTTAGGTCTAGTATGAGCTTAGCTGGTCTTATATTGACTGCTCTCTAAAGGAATGAAAGATGTTGGGTTATATTGTTTCCCCTCAAATTCTCAGCCCAACCTGACTTAACTCTCTCATCAAACTTGCTGATCTCATTTTTTCAAAGTAAGATAAAGCTGTTTGTCTGGTTCAATTTCCATATAAGGCTCAGGAAAAGAAGCCATTTTGTACTTTGCCTCAGACAGTAAAATGGAATGGCACATAGTAAGCTGTAAACATTCTTTCCTACTTTTTCAATGAGAACTAAACATTGTTTTAGGCATGATATGTGCATCCTTGCTGTATTTATTGAAAATGTAATATTGGGCTTCTGTATTTCAAAACAATATCATTTAAAATGTTGTTTAAAAGATGGAAAACACTGTACAAATGGCTTCAATCTAAAGCTTCCATCTTTTAGAACTGGAAGAGAAATGCAATCAGCTGATGATGATGAAATTTGGCCGGATTGTAGACTTGGAAGCCCTTCAGACTCTTTCTGTTAATACAAACCTGGAAGAACTCAGGATGAAAGTAATGGAGAAAGAACGAGTTCAAGCCACAGAATTAAAAAAATGGGAGGTATGATTTGATATTGAAGCAATATTATGAATCAGCCTTTGAAAGTATCAGGTTGATTGGCTTTGGGAAAAGCTTGAGGCATGGTTACAAATGGAGTCAGAAAAGAATTCATTCTGCATTAAACCACATACTGTATTTCATGCAATCTATTTTCTCATTTTGTACAATTTATGTGCAAGGTTGGAAACAATAGTAGCAATATTTTTAATGGTGAACTATTGGCTCAGAGAAGTCATTAGAACTGATAATAGGAAAATGAGAGACAAAAAATATACCTCATGAATAGAAACTTTGAGAAATGTTTATTTTTTGTTGACATTGCCTTTTGAAAAAAATGGAGTGAAACTTAAATGATCTTATGCTTCATTTTTATTTCTAGTTTTCTGAAAAGGAAACAGTTTGGTATACTCAGTAAGGCAGACTTGGGTATTTTATGGCCCCTGGGCCACATCCGGCCCTTTGCCTGTCCCTGTCTGGTCATGTGAGGTCGATCAGAAATTAGAAATCAAGTGTACTGCAGAGGGCTGGAGAGGAAGCAGAGACTGGTCCAGCTCTGCACCAGTAGCATGAATTCTGCCTAGTCATACATACAACACTCAATATAATACTTAGTCTTCCCATATTTCTCCTGATTTATTTGACCATGTATCTGTAATAATTTATTACAGTTTATTTAAAAAGATAAATTCCTTAAAATGTCAGGAAAGTCAAAGGCTCTGACCTTTGCCCTGTTGCCAAAGTCACATGATTGCTTAACTCAGAAGTTGACTTCATTGTAATTTACAAGTTTTTGAGAAGGTGGTACATTTTCAGATCACTACCTAACCAATACTGATTGAGTTCTCAGTTAGTACTAAATTAGTTGTTATGATAAGTGAGTTACGATAAATCTTGAGCTCTCAAGTGGAAATACAAGATATGAATGCAATTATTAATAAATTCATTGATATCCTGGCTCTCTTCCAGGATACAATCCTTGAGATGCGTCAGCAGCAGATGATGGTAACAAAAGAAAATACTGGTAAACTAAAGCAAATGAATGCATTTTGCATAGAAAAAATGAAACTTGAAGCTAAATTGGATGCACTGCAGAATAATTTGGTATGTGTTACTTTGTTTAGAGACTGATAAGACAAGAGCATTTTCTTTTATCTTTTAAGGTTTCTATGGTGATTGTAAGAAGAGGTTGACCATTATTTGATATTCTGTATATGTGGCTACTATCCAAGTTTCTCAAATTGACCCATGACCTTTATTGTATATAAAACCACAGCTCTACCACCATAATTAAGATATTTAATCCTTTTATTTAGGTTGCAAGCAGACAAAAGCATAATTTTCATCAAGCCAAAAAGGGGATAGTATACTTGGATTGTTTTGTTATGAAGAGTGTGAATTTAACAATGTGAAATTATAGCTGGCCATTCTTTAGCTGGTATTGGCCTTCATTTGCACTCAGTTCTTCCAAAGAACCTATCATGTTATACTGTATTGGCATAGTATATGTGTGGATCCAAGCCATATAGCTTTTTGTAACTGACAGATGGAAATTTTTTCAATGTGAATATTTTCTAAGTGCTATCCAAGGAGTTTTGGTACGGCATCCATTATGCCAATAACCCTTTGGACCACTAAAACCAGTTTATGGCATAAATTAGTATTAATTATTGTTAATTATAACCATTATTATAATGGTTATAATTATGGTTATTATATAATTAAAATGGTTATTATATAATTAAAACAATTGTTTTATTAATCTATATTATATTAATTATTATCTACAATTATTTATTATAGTTATTCACACAGTCAACCAGGTGTTTACACTGAATTTGAAATTTTTGTTAATCTAATTAAGTAATTTCTCAGGACCTGCAATAGGGAGATGTGCACTAGCTATGAAATACTTTGCCTTGACATATCTCTTTTCCAGGTATGCTTTTTCTTGTATACTTCTGATAGTGAGACACCTTGAAAGATTCCTCTCTTGGTGTTAACCTCTCTGTCTGTTATCAATGACTAGCAACTGTGTCTTTTATTGCACCATTGATCTGACTCCTGTTCTTTCTAGGCACTTGATTACCCAGTCACATGGTATGGAGTCAAATGACTTCTTGTAAATCTATCCAAGCTACATTCAAGTTGGTCTTCCTTCTCTTACAGTTTTTCAAAATCATCTTCTCAATTAGGAGCTGATCTTTTGTCTCTCTGATGTTTAAGCAATTTCTTTTCTGCTCACATGAAAAGAGCTTTGTTTTCAACTAGATATGATTGAACTGCATCAGCTACTATACCAGTTAGCAATTTGAAAGTTGTAGGTAAGCAGGAATTGGCCTGAAATTACCTGATGTGGCTCCTTTTGTTGGATCTTTCATTATCAGGTAGTTAGCAGATGTTAGCCACTCTTAAATTTCACCTCCTAGCACAGGGGTGTCAAACTGCCGGCCCGTGGGCCAGACGCATCATCCGGAAGCCATGCCCACCCCATTGCCGGCAATGGCAAAACAGTCCCGATACGTCTCACGACATCACGTGACGTCGCGAGTTTGACATGTCTGTCCTAGCAGTATGTTGTTAAACTGCTTGGCAGTGTTTGGGTATAGACCAGGCAGTTTTCAACCAAAAACTATGCAGTTTATCTTCATCTGGTGTTGGCCAGTTCCTTGCTGTTTTCTTCATCATTTCTGCTGTTATTACAAGCTCTTTCATTTCAGCTTCCCCCCCCCCCCTTCTCTACCTCCTTTATCCAAATTACATTTTTGGTGTATTTCTTTAGGTTGCCCCATACCTGTGCCCAGAACTACGCTGTTTCTTCTGTGTCAGTTTCTCTGTTGATGAATTGGTAGAAATGGTTTTGATTTGCCTGAAATTGGAGATTTCTCTGGTAGATGTGCAATTAGAGCTTCCTATTGGCTGATTTTCTTGACTCTGGCTGTTATTTGCTGATTTATTATTTTTAGTGCTTCATTGATCTTCTTTGTCCTTAGGTGATATTTCTTGATCAGGTATTATTTGGTCTTCTTGTTTTTCAGCTTTTTTTCTTCCATCTGTTCTAATTTCCTTTATTAGTTTGATTTTATTTTACAACCAGATCTTCAGTTTTCACAATGTGCTGCTTAGATTTTTTTTTCTTGTTGATTTTGCATCCAAGATTTTCAGGTGTAACTACTGTACATCAATTGGTTTATTTCATTCAGTGAGCTAGTGCTTATTTTTGATGTTACAGTATTGGCATATTTTAATACTTGTGCTAGATATTTTTTAAAAAATAAGCTTCAATGCAAGCAACATTCTGTTGTTTTTGTGCTGTTCCAGATGCTCAGCTATTCTTTTGCTTTTTAGTTAGACAATTTTGTTCTTTCTGAGGAGACGGTAGAGGAGAGGGTGCTTTGCTTCAGAATGACAACAATAGTGATGCTGGTTTTTTCTAAGATCTACTCTCCCTGCTTTGTTTCTACTGTTTGAGCTACTTCTGGCAAAGCTTTGATGTCTTTGCTCTGAGTAGATCTTTGCCGTTCTTCCAATTCTATTCTGTGAATATTTATTTTATATTATAACATTCATATACAGTAATATAGCACTGATTGGCTAGTTTTTATTCTGTTGTTTTGGATTCTGGATGTTGTTCTTTCTAGAACTGATGCATCTTTTTTTCAGATATCCCCTTCTTATTGGACTTGATTTGTATTAGCAGATCATTATTTCTTTGTTTTTTGTATATTTATGACCATTAAACAACCTTTCTCCCAATAGTTCTGCAAATGCTGGCACTTGCTGCTCAGCCAAAAATTCTGTGTCCTATAGCCCACTTGTTACCAGATGTTGTCCTGGACAACAACCAATCTGAATGATTATTATTGAGATTTAGAAAAGTTTCTGAATTTTGTTTTATAGGGGGCAGAATTCCAAGGACCTCGCAGAGCAGACATTGAGGAAAGGGAAAAATTAATTGCACTTGTTCAGCTGCAAGCCCAAGAAGCTGAAGTCTTGAAAGAAGAAATAACTCTCCTGAGTCGAAAGGATGGTCGTATCTTCCCAGCCTCTCAAAGTCTTTTCCAGCGAGATGAGATTATAGATTAAACAATATCCTAGTTTTGGCTTTTTGTAAAAATCAGTTTCACTTCATGTATATAGAACGTGGCTCTTGAGCGTTTACCCTTATTTTATTTCTGGAAGAAATGCTCTGCCTTGAACTATTGTTTAGGTTGAAATTTAACATTGTAACCTCTCCTGAGATGCAGTGATTGAGAAAACCTGTACCATTTGAATGACTGTCTTTCCTACAGTTATTAAAGATATAGAATCATTCTTGATAAAATAAATTGTATCTCTCATTCTTCTAATCAGTCGAGTTCCCTGTGGATATATGAAGGGTCTCAACTTAAAAATCTTCAAATTGTTCTATTTCCTAACCCAACATACATATTTGTACATGTCAAACAAGCGATATTCTGCAAATGGGAATTTGTTCTCCCAGCTTGCTGATACATCTACATCTTTATCACAGTATGAAACAATAATATATTACTATCCAGTGGGATGCTGCACATGAGAAACTTTGGACTAAACCAGATCCAAAGTAAGTCACCAATAACCTGAAAAATGGGGGCAAGCCTTGGCATTCTGTCAAGATGCAGTTGGCTGAGAAAAAAAAATCATCCGTAGAGGGTTCCCATGTCATCATATTCCTTCTGCAGTATCTTAAATTGTTACAGACTTTGAAATTGGCAATATCACTTGCTAGCTGCTCAGCTATGTGAACTGCTTACAATTTTCATAGCTAACATATGGACATATTTTCAGATTCTAATTTAACTTTCACATTATGTAGTAAAGCATATGGTAATAATTAAATTTTAAATGCACTATTAAGCCCAAGTTTCACCATATTACTTCTTTATAGTACAGTAATCTGGCTTTTAAGCAGTCTCACTTTTTAGTCCCTTTTTTTTTTAAATTAAAAAACTGGGTAAACTGCAGTAGATACTTGTTGCATTTATTCTCCTTTTCCTTTCTGAGCATGTCTGGTTCCATGTTGGTCTAGAATATTTTTCAGAAAAAGAGGAGTGGTGGAAGCCACAGCTCTTTTTCTTCAAGTATCTTGAAAGGAAGGGAACAGAAGGAGAGGGGAGAGGAGCTCATGTTGGGGACACTTGGAAAGAAAAGCAGATAACTTAGAGAACCCAAATGGCACAGAGAGCTAGAGATAGTATAGATCTAGCAAGCCAAGCAAGTATTGGGAGGCAGGGGGCAGAGAGGGAGCAACATTAGCATGGTGGGAAATCAGAGACACTAGCTAACCCGAAGTGAGAGATTTCCTAAGTGAGAGAGCCTTGGGTGCCAACCCCTTCCCCCCTCCCCAATTGTAGCTTTTCAGGGCGGGTAGAATGACCATTTGTTTCCCACTACTGGTACAATGGCAAATATGAGCTCTATAAGAGTCTCTATAATGATTGGTTCCTAGATTGATAAAAATTCAGGAGACAAAACTAGCTGTGTTCTTCTATTATCAGTAAAATACTTCCTTAGTCTTAAAAAATGAAGAAGTGTCCACCTGGATGTTTTAGAAATAAATTGGTTCTAAATAGCTTAGTTGTCGAATTCATGTAACTGCATCTCTATATATCTTGCTAAAGAATGAAAATTTTGCTTGGAAATAATTGCTCTTAGATTGTAACAGTTGCCAAAGAGCTGGACAGGAGTTCTGGAGGAGAAGCAGAGGAGGAGAGAGAAAAAACACCCAGTAACGAGCGTAGAGATTGGTTCTTCCTTTCCCCATGTCTGGGCTATGCATTGTAACAGCAGTTGCCACCTGGCCTTCACAGAACTCTATATGATTGCAGAAGAGGCTTCTGAATGTATCGTTTGGATTGGGTACATGCATTTAGAGTAATTCAAAGGAAGAGGAATTCATGCTTTGCGGAAATACCGTGTTTCCCCAAAAGTAAGACCCAGCCTGATAGTAAGCCCTAGCTTGATTTTTGGGGGTGGGTCTAATATAAGCCCTACTCCAAAACTAAGCCCTAGTTTTGGGGTGAGGCGCACCCCAAAAATCAAGCTAGGGTGGGGCTAGGGGGGTGAAGCTGCCCCATGCACCCTGTACCCGCTTACCTTACCGGTAGGACCATCACAGCCAGGCCTCCCACACCCCGACACCTGTTGCACTGATGCTTGATTTCTTCTGCAGCCGCTTGCTACCAATTGCCGCCAGACGCCATGTAGCGCATTGCACCATTGCCGCTGCCTCGCATGCTTTGGGCCATTTCTGCTTGCTCGCGCAGCGCTTTGGGATGAAGCTCCATGTGTCCTCCTGCCGCGAGCAGCAGATGTGGATGAAGTGCTGCGGGAGCAGCAGAAGCAGCCCAAAGCACTTCGCGAGCAAGCAGAAGCGGCCTGAAGTGTGCAAGGAGTGGAATGGCCCGAAGTGCTGTGCGAGCAAGAAGTGGCCCAAAGCACTGCGCAAGCAAGCAGAAGCAGCCCAAAGTGTGCGAGGAGCAGAAGCAGCCCGAAGCACCATGCTGTGTCCTGCCGCGAACCGCAGCAACAGTGCAATGTGCTACATGGCATCTGGCGGCAAATGGCAGGAAGCGGCCACAGAAGAAATCAAGCAGCAATGCAACAGCTGGGAGGCCTGGCTGTGGTAGTCCTAAGGTAAGATATTCCCCGAAAATAAGACCTGGTGCCTCTTTTGGAGGCAAAAAAATATAAGACCGGATCTTACTTTCGGGAAAACATGGTATACTAAGGAAGATGCTTTGGATGGTAGCACTGTAGGATAGTAATTTTAAAAGAAGTTATTAAAACATAATATGGAGAAATTTGCTTGTCTTTTTGTTGAAAGCTTTTTGAGTAGTAGAAAACTCTGGAATCAGCAAGAATGTATTCTAGTCAGTACGTTGCCCTGCAGGTATACTTATAAAATGTGGCTTTCTTTTATTGAATGACTCTATCTCTTGTTGATTCCTAATTGAAACAGTTCAGTGAACTTTTTAAATTAAAAGAACTGTAGGGATCATTTTACAGTTGTCAAGATTTAAAAAGCAAACATATATTTAAAAAAACAAGTCCAATAAAAAAAGAGAAATGCTTTATTTACTTCTGAAGCATGGTGGGTTTTTTTCATTACTGACACACAGTATATATATTGTTTTTAATGCAGGTAAACGGTGTGTTAACTTTTGTATTTGGCATTCTGCAGTGAAAATCTTCCAACACGATTATAGAAAAAGATTTTCCCATAGTTTCATCCTTAGACTACAGCTCTAGCAATTGGAAAATGAAGGTAGCTCTAATGCCTTTTTAAGACATAAAGCAGTAAATCTGTCTTTTCAAGTCCATGATCTAACAAAAATATATATGGTTGACTTAGTCTTGGTTTATTCCCTGCTGTAATTTTCACATGGTATAATTCCTCTCTGTAATTATAGAAGGCACATGTACATCTATTTACAAGTGCATAAATATATAAATAAAAATGTAATATAAAAATAAATAAACTTTTCTCTGTTTAGAATAATCTTTGTAAGGCAGCTTGTTCCTTATCTGATGCTGGAACAAGTATCTGAGGAATTATGCAATGGCAGGCTATTCAAATATTTCTCTGAGCTTTCTCCTGAAGAAACATCCTCTGGATTTGTGGGCCACACATGTCTTCTCTTTTGGCATAAATCTGTTCCCCCTGTGTGTTTAACAGGTACTACACCGAGACAGCAAGTGGAATCTGAAAATACAAAGAATAAGAATCAAATTGTATTCTTTATAAGACTCTTCTATTCAAAATATTTTGAAGGGAAACCAAATTGTAACAAACTCTGAGATCCTGCATAGTTTTTTGGGGGAAACAAGATAGGAATATATCCTGATACTTATACATGAGAAGACATGAGCTAATAATGTTAAGAATTACTGGTAAAAGAAGATAAATTTCAGTAATTTTTACTGGTATTTGATTAATAAAGAAATCTAATCTACATTTCTATAGCTTACTAAGATGCATATTAGTAAACGCTTCCTGGCAATCACTGTTGACATTCCAGTTATTTCAGAGCCATACCAATCCATTTACGGATGGTGTAAGAATTGAAACTTTTAACATTTTCTTGATACAACTTAAGAGGAAAGTCCTTTGTTTGACATTTTGAGTTACTGGCAAAGTATACCGATTTTAGCTAGCAATAGAAATAAAACATAAATGTGCCATACCTAATGAGCAAGCCCAATTATTAATAGATTATCTCTTGCAAATGCTTAATTTTTAACAAATATATAACAAAGAATTCTGTGTGAATAGAAATATATTGTGCCTATTGATCTTCCCTTATTCTGCTCTTCATTCTTCTTCAAACCAACACTTTTTCTCCTGGTTTTAAAAAATACCTGAGGTATGTCTGGCACTGACCTGTATGGAAGACAGGATTCCTCATATCTTCCATAGTGGAATTTCCTATCTTTCTTTGCGGTGTTGAGTGACACAGGCTAAGGAGTTGTTCATGATGGTGGTGTTGGTGTTGGCAGTTGTCATGTTGCTGTAACAGTTTATTTATGGAGTCATCTGGCAGACCACAGAGAAAAGAACTGTGTTCTGGTCCAGGACTAGTAAGCCTAAATATAAGAGACAGAAGCATGTGAGGACATCAATGATCCAATTACTGGATTTCTTATGTACAAAGATTGTAAAAATAAGACAGAAATTGAAAAGTTCTTAATTTTCTTCCATATTTGAGATTCCAAATGAAAAGCACTCTTACAAATTAATATAAAGTAGAGATATTCATTAAGTGTTAAAATGCTAATTATTTCTTAGGACGACCAAATTTTTATCCATTGTAAAACACAGGGTTTGAATAGATAAGTGAATGTTCTACAGATAACTAAAGTAAATATACTCTAAATATTCAAATACCAGGATGTGTCTATATATACTAATATCAGAATCATGCAGATACTCCATGAAAGCAAAAGTTGAAGAAACTGGATAGAAACAGTATTGATATTTTTGAATGTTAGTGTTTTAAGAAGACCCCTGAAAATATGATTAGCCAAGAAAGCAAAGTTCAACCTATATTTCTCACTTAAGGCACAAATGACCAGATTCAAATTATCATACTTTGAACATATTATGTGAAGGTGTAGCTCTCTAGAGAAGGCTATAATTCTGGGGAAGATGGAAGGAAAGAGAACTGGATGACCAGCAATAAGGTAGATGGAATTAATTAAGGCAGAAATAGGTGTACCATTGGAATAGCTGAAGAATTAAACTGGATCATCCTGGAGAGAAACCTGTAGTTTCCAACAATTCATAAAAAATTGATTCCTATAATCA